ATGACTTTATATCCATGCTCAGATGCCAAGGAGCTCAGAAAGTAACCGACTGTGACTAGTAATAATCAGATATATAGAGATTAGAAACACATGTGCATCGTAGTGTCAATTGTATTAAAACTGAATTTTTCTGTAAAAAATATGCTTTATGTATTAATTTTTTTATGTGTATGACTATACTGGCTCCATGTATGTGAGTGCACGCATATCATGCAATGCCACTGAGGTCAGAAGTGGGCATCGGATTCTCCTGGAACTGGAGCTAAGGACAGTTTTTAGCTGCGATGCCAGTGCTGGGACTTGAACCCCAATCTTCCACAAGAGCAGTCAGTATTCTTAACCGCTGAGCCATCTCTCTAGTTCCTAAAGTTGGATTTTTAAATTAACTAATTTATTAATTGATTTTGAGTCCTCAGGATTGAACCCACGGTCTTGTGTATGCTAGGCAGGTGTTCTGCCACTGAATTGTATTCTTAATCCTGGAAATGGTTCAAAACTCACATTGTAGGGGTTAGGTGGCCTCTAGTCTCAAGGCTTCAGGGAGGAGTAGGCCATAGTCACAGATACAGAACTCCACTCTGGTTTATCCCCCTGCTGGCTGGAAGTCTTCCCACCCTACACAGAAGTGACTGTGAGGAGCCTCAGGCAGGGAGCCAGGCAAAACCCAGGAGTTCTCCCTCTTGGGTGGGGTGGTAGGGGATGTGTCTTAGTTGCATCAGGTGTTCTAAGTGTTCTTTAAGTACCTCAGGGCCTCAAATACCCTAAGAAAAAAATTCCCCTGCTCCATTACCAATTACTAACTACATTAATAAGTTGAACTTCTTAGGAAAGCTCTTCAGACTACCAAATATAGAAGCTAAATCTCTTCCGCCCCCCATTATATTTCTTCACTTAAATCTACAGGAATAAATTGTAACTATGCATATTTATATTAGAGAACATACATGATATAAATATTCTATTTTATTTTTTCATCTGGTATATTTAATATTAATAAACTGTTGATATTAGTTTTGTTAGTACTGAGAGCTCCAACACAGGGACTTATTTTTAGCAGACTTTGAAAACCATTCATTACTATATTGTACGTAATGCAAAATTTCAGACAAAAATGTATGCTTTAAAATATCTTATTACAGTTGTCAATGAGATTTTTAAGTGTTAGGCCAGGTAAAATAATATAATTCCACATCTGCTGTGACAAAAAGACATGGCAATTGAATGCTACTCTAAATTTGGTAAGGCAAAATTTTAAGAAATTTTGTTAGTAATATTCTAGCTACAAACTAAAATCAGAGTGGATATGGTGACATTCACCTGTAGTCCCCACACTTGGGAGACTCAGGAAGGAGGATAGAAAGTTCAAGGCCAGCCTGAGCTATATAATGAGACTCTGACTTTTTAAAAAGAAAGAAAAATAAATAAAATGAACTGAAATCACAATAAGATAGAATTATATTTGTTGCGGGGATCTGGATTTGAGTGGGAAATGTATGAAATTTAAAAAGCTCAATTTAAAAAAGTTTTTAAATATTTTTCATTTTTTAAGTCACCCTAGAAGAGAACACCACAACTATATTATGCATAAATTGATTTCCTCCAAAAACAGATATTCAACACACTGAAAGTGGCATTCCTTTGCAAAAGAATTAAAACTTAAAATTCAGTTTTCCCTTTTTCCCTGTGATGCATGTTCCACCAAAATTCATTGGGACTGATGAATGGTAACACTGGATAATTAGCAGTTGTCCTCAGCACTGAAACTCAAGGTGCCCAAGTGTTCAGAGGTCACTCAGAGACGCAACTCTGAATTGAATTTTCTCTTTCTTTGAGGTAATGTCTTTGAGCCCCTTGTACATTTTGTTCCTTGTCAAACCACCTTAGAGCCTTCAGGAGCTACAGTCTCTGTGGCTGTTCTGTTCTAGTCTCCTGGTGGTACCTAAATCATGGGATGGATCTCTTTAAGACCTACACAGGGGCCCTTGTTTCAAAATAACAGAGAATGGAATGTTTCAACGTTCAGCTGTATGTTGCAATGAAATAGTTTTTAACCTTCCTGCCAATCAGGTTAAAAAAGAGATTGGCCACTGCTTACATCTGAGGAGACAAGACTTTCTAGAAACAAACCTATTGGGAGAATTTACTTTTCACCCCCTTACAAATGGAGCTGCGGGCTTGTTCTTAAAAGTCTGTAGCTTCTCTGTTTTTGAGTTGATTTTGTGTTCTATAAAATCAAAATCTCCTAAAGGATGGAGCACGGAATCCATGTGTTTCTATTTGCCTTTTGTTTTAGCCACTATGGAGATAAGACGAATGAATGGAGACTAGGGTGGAGGTTGGAGGAATGTCAAGACTTTGAATTTATGACACAGAATTTAGTCCTCCAGACTGATTGCTTAAATTATCTTCAGCCTCCATTTTGGCTTTCTGATAGCTCCCTTTTAAGGTCTGATTATTAAAGATACTGTTAGGTAACTCTCATATTTTAAAAAGTCCTTTACTAGTACAGTATTTCCACATTATAGGAGAAAAGACTTTATGTGCTGTAGAGATGGAAAATGTTGGTGCTGCCAAGAAGCAGGAGGCTGCCCCTGCATTCAAAGGCAAGAGAAGTGGGATTGGCCACTTAGAAGAACATCCTGGGAAGAGATGTAGGAAGGAAGATGCTTTGCTTTGTTTTGTGTCTGCCGTTGTTCTTCCTATGGTGAGAGGATGGAAAAATAGAGGTGATGTCTCAGGAACAAAGTCGGGTTTCTTAGTTCTATCACTGAACTTTTACCAATAACCCAAGATGCTCTGTGTCTCTTTTGTGGCTCTGAACGGACACTACAGATCTTTTGTCCCCAATGCTCTACTCTGCAAACTCTTCCAAGTTCAGCTCTGCATAAACTATGTTCCATTTTGTTATAGCATCCAAAGCAAGAGCCATGTCATGCCTGTGAGTCAGTATGCTTGGGTGCCTCTGATTCCACTGCTGGAGAGATTTTCACCATATTGCCTGGATGGCTAGACGTACCAGAATTCTAGATTACATCTCCATTCCCTCAGAAATCTGACTGTTTTAAAGTGTCTAAAATGCCTTTCCAACCTCCAGACCCCATGTTGCTCCTCGCCTGATTTTGCAATCAGTGCAACAACTGTGCTGTCATTTAAGCATTTGACTTTGGGTGTTAAAAAGAAATGAATGAAAACATGAAAAGATCAAGCTCAGGGCAACAGTAACATGCTATGCGTGGGGACAGAATGGGTACAAATAGTTTAGAACCAAATAATTTGTAGTTCCATGGCTTGATAAATATGTCTTCTTTTTTAAAAAAAATGGTCATCAATGTGTGTGCATATTGTGTGTATGTGTGCACATGTGTGCATGCAGACAAGCATGCCATGGCGCATGTGTGGAGGACATAGTACAACTCTGTGGAGTTGGTTCTTTCCTTCTATCTTTACATGGGTTGTAGGAATTAGACTCACCAGGCTTGTGCGATAAGCACCTTTACCTGCTGACCCATCTTGTTGGCTCTTTTTTATTTGTATGCTTTTGTTTAGTTTCCTTAATATATAAGAAACTCTTTCCTTCCTTGATGTTCTTCAAGGTGGCCAATCCCACTTCTCTGCATTTGAATGCACAGGCAGCCTCCTGCTTCTTGGCAGCACCAACATTTTCCATTTCTATAGCTCATGAATATTTTT